GAAAGAGAAAAGAAATCTTTATACCTACCAATATATCAGTACTGGCAATAGTACTGAGCCTCAAATATTCAACAGCTCTCTGCTGCAGCTCAACATCAGCATTCTTTAGCTGACTGTCACTGCGCAATACATCTTGAATCGTAGTTTTGATTTCTGGGAACAGGTTCACAAACTTGATGTACGTAGACAGAAGCAGAGCTCGGGTAGGAACACTACACAGATGAAACTTGGAATGTAGCAGGTTGAACTGGATGAGGGGACTTAAAAGATGGGAAGAAAAATAATTCGTTCAGTTTACGTAGACATGATAATTCTTAATACATTAATAGCAAGAGTTGAATCATTTGTTAACTGGCCTTTATGAATATTGAATAGGCATTAAGATTCTTTACCAAAAGTGTTACTACTTCAAGTCAGTATTTTAAGCGTTTTACCTTGATCTTGGATCACCTGCTATCAGATTTCCAAATTCTCCCAATATGTAGCCACCTACTTTTACAAGATTCTCATGGCATGCTGGAGCTTGAAGGGCCTATAAGAATACATTAATAGTCACTGATCTGTAATGCATCAAAAAAGATCTTTTCTGTCATTTCCATGTCCAGTTTCCTACTCTACTTACCTGTAAGAGCAGGCCATAGGTCTAGGCACTATAGAGCACTTATGAGAAAAGCACAATAGGTGGTATGACTTTATAAAGAATCTCTAACTTAAGTATTACTTGCTTATGTAATGGGCTCTTAGGCCCATCTAGCATTATTGTGGACTTTTGAGGACAGATACAACTGCTAATTTCCTTCACATCTTTAGGGGTGTCAGAAGGATGTTAATATGCTTCATATAAACCTTGCAAGAATGTGCTGAAGTTGTCCAAGATAAAAATACTGCCTTCACTGAGTATGAAGAAACACATAGCAAGAATAAGTTCTTAAAGTCAGCTTAAACATTTAGGAGAGAAAAAAAAAAAAAGTGGAAAGCTAGTAAGAAGACTCCAAATGAAGTCAGAGTAACAAGGCCAGACATTTGAAAGTGTTCTCTTTCAGTAGTTCAAATTCCAGTTTTATCAGATCCTGAACAGAAGGAATGGGTATATGATTCTGGAAGGATCGTTAGTTAGGTGTTTTGGATTCCTGCATGCAGAAAACTTGAAGCGGGAGGTGGTGGGGGTGTGGGGTGAAGGAAAAAAGAAAAAAAGCTGCCCTATTGCCCTATAAAGTGCTTCTATTTTTACTACATTTCAGTAATTTTCCAGGTATAGAAATTTCCTTACTAAGCCATCCATTCAATGCCATCCACCAAAATACCAAAAAATCCACCCTGCCCTCCCTCATCAAAGACCAGAACAGTACTAGGTATATTTATATTACTTAAGCCAGAGAAGCTTCTCATCAGCTTAATGTGGCCTCTGGCTCTGAAAATCAATGATGCTAGTTTTATGGAAAGCTTCAGCAGCATTTTGTTGAAATATTCAGGATCATATTTTTATTCCTCCCTAACATGGGGAAGGACACACAGCTGCTAGATGACATTGTGTTCATTTCTTACCTCATTTTGAAAGTCAACTGAAAACAGTTATTCTCACCTCAAAAACAGTCTTTGCTGCATACCCTTGAACATCATCCCTGTTGATGACAATCTGAATAACTCGATACCACACTTCTTCACTGACATAATCACCAGCAATGCGAATCAGATTCAAGATTGTATCCACATACCAGGTATAATCCACTGCATACTTCTCAGCTAGAATCGCAACTTTCAGAACCTAGACACATGTAAGAGAATAAAGAAGGTGGACGAGCTTCTACTATAAGCTGTGTATTAAAATTCACTTTCATGTGCACCTAGTGATACCCCATGGTAGCCCAGAAGCCTCAGTTTCATATGCATCAGCTTCCTCAATTGCTCCCATAGTGAAGGTGAAAGAAAACTTTGAAATTATGTGCTAGAAGACACCAGTTGCCAGGTACATAATGCTTTCCCCATAATGCATTTGGGTACGTTGCATCTGAACAATTTATTGAACATCTTTCGTTTGCTAGAAAAACACCAACCCTCCTGCCTCCCCACACCTGGTGTCCCCCCCCCCCGAAAAAAAAAAAAAATCCCAAAAAAAACCTGGAAACACAAACTAGCAGAGACAGACCAGAGTCACCAAAAATACAGCTGGCTTTCAGGTCATACTAAGATTCCTATATCCTAAAGCAAACAATCAGCATAGGAAGAGACCTCCACATAATTTATCAGTTGTATTTATACCGACCTATTTCCTTAAGAGAAGCAAATGAACAGAACAAAATTCACATTATCTGCCAAGTCAGGGTAGATTGCCAACATCAGTAAGACAGTAAATTAAGAGATAAATCAACTAACACTGCATTCTATGTTAACTTCTCCAATAAAGAAACTTTAGCATCTAAACTAAGTATTACCATAAGTTCTGGCTACCATTCTAGGAAGGTTGTTAAATGAGTATTTCAAGTTTTGCTTTTTTTTTTTTCCCTGCTGGAAGGAAGGAGATACAATCACCTGAGAGAGGCACGATAGCTTATTGTTTTAGGGAATCCTTAGACTGAGAGAATGTTCTCACAGCATACACAGTATGAAGTTCTACCTACAAGTATTTATCTTACTAATATTTGAAGATATTTCAAGCAGTTGACTAGAGTAACACATAACCCTCACTTCTAGAGATTACATTTACTCAAGCACTGATAAAATTATTTTTATATACAATGCTGTGAGACAAAGATTAGCTTCTAAAATTCCTAGTTTCCAAGTATTCCCCCATGACATTAGTTTAACCTGTATGAAGAATATACTTTGTTGTTGACTAGAAAACTTAGGGGTTTGGGGTTTTGTTTGGTTTTGGTTATTTTTATTTTTATTTTTTTTTTTTTTTTTTTCCCCCACCATGAAAAAGAATCTCTATCACAGACTATCCAGCATCCCAATCAGTAAATGATACACATATGGTGCCGAAGCCAGAAACGAAAAAATAAAGAAACACAAATCTCTCACAATTTCTTCTCTAATGGAATAATCAGCAGTCTCCAAGTAATTCAGCATTTCAGCCACAATCTGTTGAGCATTGCTTCTGTCACACATTGCGTACAGTAGATCTACAGCTCTTTGTCGTACACTTACATCTCTTTCAGTCTGGAAAAGGGCATACAGCAGGTCAAGATTATTTCATCTTTATTTAGAAAGCTCACGCATCTTACTGAAGAAATGAAACTTACTAAAACCCATTTAAGACAAGTGCATTTTCATAATCTTTCAGACGCAGAATGACCTTGGATATACCCTTCACATAAGCTGTATTCTCACTTTCAGTCACCTAGAAAGAGGTCACTGGAGATTCTGACAGCTTCCCACTTTTAATATTAAAAAAAAAAAAAAAAAATTAAATCATCAGGTTTTGTTTCTGTAGTACACACATTCAAATCTGTGCAAGTGCTGAAGGGATTGGGGAGTTTGTAGAGATGACTCCACTATAACCCTAACTAGAGTGAATGATTTTTTGGTCCAATGTGCACTGGATAACTGGGACCACTGGCCACAAATGCACTAATAAATGACCAAAATTGTCAAACTGTCAACAAGATAATGAGTGATTAGCTACCTGCATGTTTAGTGTTGTGCTTGCCTTATATCAACAGAAGCTCAGCTAGAACAAGTTTTTGACTTTTGAAGTGAGACAAATATATGCTACAGCATGTGCTTGGAAGAAAACACATGTGAACACGAAAGTGTGCAAATAAATTTACATGCAAATCATTTTCCTCTTTTGACTTTTGCTTATTTATAAAAACATGGCCTGAGAATGTGTCTATTTTTTTGACTTTCTGATTCTATTGATTGGTGGAGCATATCAGCTTCTGGAAGTTGATATGCTCTACCTCTTTCCATAAGCTACTGCAGTGAAGCAATAGTGTCTAATACCAGGAAGACACTGGTATTCTTCACAGTATTCTTCATTTTGAAATTCCACATTTTGAAAGAGCTATTCCTCTTCAATCTACAGCTTCAGGACAATATCAAAGTGTTATAAAGGCCACAAATATCAGATTTACTAGCAAGCTGCAGAAATAAACTGAAGCTGACCTCTATCATTACCAGCACAGCAAGATTTTGCAGGATTAAGGAAAAAAACCCCTAAAGCAGACTTCTGAGAATAACTCCTTTGGTCCACAAGTATTATTATATTAACTGGGGATGAGGGGCTTGGGGAAGTAGGAGAGAGGGCATTGAGGCAGGGGAGAAGACAACACTCAAAACAGACTGCACACTTAAATATTTACCTTCAACGCATTGATAACTGTTTCTATGTGTGTTTTCACAGCCTCATGTGAGAATTCAGAGCTGGCAAGCGTGCACATGCTTTCCAGTGCTAGGTAACGCAAATTAGTTTCTCGGTGCTGCAAGAATTGACCTAGCTGGTTACAGGCACGGACTAGTAGATTTGGCTCACTGCACAGAACAGGAGAGAAAGTGAAAGGGTTAAAAGCAATAGGTTTGAGAACATTCAAACACAGAATATGATTTCTTCAGTGGAAATTTCTTAAAATGCCTCAAAGTGTCTGCTAGAATGCCCTGCTGGTGAAATGAAAAAATCAAATACTGTGAGCAAATAATCTCTGTTGGATTAGAATGGTGGGGTCAACACAAAACAAAAAACAAAAGAAACAAACAAACAGAAAAAAAATGGAAAGCAGCAAGAAACAAAGCAATAAAAAAAAAAAAAAAAAAACCAAAACAACATGCTGATAGCAACACAGTTCATTAATACTGTTCAATTCCACTGCTGTGGTTGTGTTCCAATCTAGCAAGCAACTTCACTGTCTGCTCTTCCTCCCTTCTCCCCCCAGTAAAATTCCATTTAGTGTTCAAGTCAAAGCCACAGCTTTTCACTTAAAAAAATACTCTCATAATAGAAGCGTTCTCACAGCTCACCTGTCATGATGTATAATTAAGCTTATTGCCTCAAACAGCACAGCATTCTTTGCATTTGAGTGTTGTACTTTTTTTGACTTTGGTGGCTCCTGCGCTTTGTTAAGAATAGTTTCCAGGCATTCTGTTAGACGACCACGTACCGCAGGGTCTTCTGGAGAAGAACGAGCCGTTGGACAACTTCATTTTGCTCAATACCCTAATTGCTACCTTAGGCCTTCCACCTTCCTAAATCTGAGTAAATTGAAGTGTTCTAATACATTAAGAACAGTTCACCCTCCCCCAATACACAGTTGGCAAAAGAATTCTAAGCCACAGTTCTATTTGGGTGAAAATAAAAGTCAAACACGATCTGCACTATAATATACTTCAACGCTTTAATATAGTTGATAATACTAAAGAATATTTAAAATGGCAGTTGCAACAGGTTTGTAAGATGCATGCTGGTTTGACACTTTGCTCTAAGCTACACAGCCTTTTGAATTCGGTTGTTGGATTTTAAGAATCTGAAACACTCAAGAGCACAGACTTCAGTATCCTTGTCTTAAGACAATGCGCTTGCACTCCAAGTTATGGTAACTACAGCACAGCAGCTCTTCGGAGATAGTGTACTACATAAAGAGAGATGACCACTGTTATGACCACTCCATTACCTGGAGGTGGGTAGCACTGTAACAACCTCAGAAGTTTCACAGATAACCAAGGAGCAGGAACAAAGTAGTACGTATAGTCCTGAAGATCTGTAGATGCAGAAGTTACAATCTGTAAAATAAGCAGACGGCACATCAGCTACTGAAGCAATGCACAATCATGAGAAGAACCTAATGAATGCTGTAGGTTACCTTTGACAGAAGCTTACAGAACTATCTCAATAGCAATTAATTTAATTAGGTGCAAGTTGTCATACTATCAATAAACCATCAGGTTCCCTAGTAATAGAAATTCAGTTTTACAGATACGGTAGTCTAGGAAGCATCTTCCTGAAAGCATATTTGCTTTTCTTAAGAATGAAGATGACCAACTTGTAATGCTACCACATTTAACTGGAAGCTGGACTTTCTTTGGTCCAGCAATTCAAAGATGCAGCCAACAGAAAACCTATATAATGTATTATAGTTGACTGATGTTGGTGAACATAGAGTCATAAGACTCTATGACAAACTGAGCTAAAGCAGAAGGTCGAACTAATACCTTTAGTAATATTCATACTGCAGAACAAAGAACAGATAGCTTTCACAGGAGCAGTTTATACGCATAGTGACATGTGATAAGAATCGGATTAGGTTTCAGTTGTGGTACACCCATTCATGGATTTCTTTTCCCCCTTTTCCACCAAGAAAGTCTGGGCAAGCTAATACAGTTTGCTGCCCTGGTAATCAAAAAGCTGTATGAACCGAAACTGAAACATCTTCACTTTTAATGGTACCCTAAACTAACCTGACCTAGAAAGCCAAGTAAGTTAAGCAACAGTGAAGTATTATCAGGGTTATCATTGGACTCACTCTGCTTAATCTAGATACTGCCAAGGAGACTGAAGTTTTAAACTCTTCTGGGTTCTTCTGAGCCAAAGTGGTGATCAGACTTGTAGCTGCAGTAACCACACCCTAGAAAAAAAACCCCAAGGTAATACCTTCAATTTCGTAACAGTTTAAGATACTGCCCATTAGCAGCTTTTACTTCAAGTATTTTTCAATAAACAACAAATCAAAGTTCACCCCCATGGCAAAGCCACACATTAAAAAGCCCTTTATTTGGCTAGCAACTAGACTAATTACACATCTTCAAAATCCAATAGGATTTCCAACAATGTAACTGCCACAGTTGCAGAACATTTAATGTTATTTTTCTATTAGCTGTGTCTCATGTTTGGACAGTACAACTGAAATAACACAGAGCTGTGGATGCAAATTGTCTTATTGCACAAGCAAAGGATGAGTAGAAGAAATAGGATGCAGCATATCACCCAGGAAAACTCTAACAACCCAACATGGAGATGGCTCTTCATAACACAAGCATCATATATTACTGCAGACTAAGGCATTCTTATTACTGCTGAAGCACAGGTCTTTAACAGCCTTACTTCATAAAGTAACTAGACAGTGGGGGAAAAAGTAAGTCTGTATCTAGAACAATAAGTTAGTATTACACCTATGCAGTATGACTTAGGATCGCAAGGCACAAGATTAATTTGTTTACAGTCAGAGTAAAATAACTTGTGCACATAATTTTTAAATGTCCAAGTTTAAAAGGCTTTACTAAAAATAAATATACACAGCAACTAAAAGAGGACAACAGCTCCCACTTCCTTCCCTGAACCTGAAGAAAACAGCAAGTCACCTGCTTGAAAGATTCAAGAAGAAAGAAATTAACAGTGTATTTCACAGCAGAAGTAACAATCATTCTCTATATAGTAGGCCCGAGCAGCATAATGAAGCTGACTTACCAAGTGCTGGTCATTGAGGAGATGTACCACTCTAGATGTCCAGTCTCCCATGGGAACAAGGTCAGGAGAAGTTCTATACAAACGCAGCAAGCATAAGGCAGCACTCTGCTTTACACTGTCCATAGTATCTCTGCACAACATAAATGTGGATTAAAAAATACAGTGACGAAATCGCAGCAATACTTGTAGGCTAGTATTATGCTAGTCTTCGCACTGACTACATTCTAGCCAGGTAGAGAATCTTTTTCAGCAGAAGCTTAAAGAGAAGTTCACTAAATTCTTACTATGATGTTCTTAATTTTGTCCAGTAAGTTTAACTAGAGAAGTTTTCAACCATTATGTATGTCTAGTAGCCTCCATAATGACTCTTTGCAACTTAGAGCAATGTTTCTTTTTATCAGCACTGAAAGTCATTTATGCATCTATCATTTATGCAATATATCGTTATATGCACACAAGCTCATCTAATCACAAGAACAAGCTTTTTCCAAATTGGCTTAAATCAAACAGTTAAGGTACACTTCATTATGCATGCAACCAAAACTGCATCTCCTGACAAGTCCTGCATATCAGATACAAATCATTAACTACTCAACAGCTTCAGTATCTACAACTAGCAAGCAAATCAGCCAACTATCACCAAGCATGCAATCCACAAATTTATTCACCTTGTCATCCATGCTGCTGGCACAAAAATGGACTACTGTAAGAGCAGCATGCTACTATTCTAGTTCAGTGAACCCCCTTTAACAAAGAGAGTCAATTAAGCATTTTGTATGTTGTACAAGTAATGGCTAAAAATTTACAGAGCATTAGCACCGAAAGTTTTAAGACTCAGTTTATACTGTGCAATCTTGGTTAAATGTTCAAAAACCTCTACATCCCCAATACAGGTTCAGTTCACTGTCAATATCTTTGTCGGCGACATGGGCAATGGAATTGAGTGCACCCTCA